CTATGCAAATGCTGACTGAGAAAACTTTCGATTTCTAATAAAGCACTCTGACTGGGGCAGTTTCTTTACCAGTAATAACCTCTTAGAAACATAGAAATATTCAATGTCACCACCTAATCTGCACTGGACACTACTGTACCCTCTAAAATTGGGTTTAAAACAATTACTCCTTATCTAAACCAAAAGACCAGGCCTAAACTGCGAAAACTGAAAAGGTCGTACTATATATCTAAAGACTTCAGTGCCCTGCACCAGATATACTCTGTACCTGACGGAGTAAAAAGTCAACACAACAAGCGTAAACAGGTAGAGGAACGTACTGCGCTCACTGCTGCATCTAAAGTTCAAGCCCTATGTCGTCTCCTCACGAAGCGCATAAGAAAGAACACAGACCACAACATTCACTCCTTACTGCACGGTGGAGTAACGTATAATGACCAAACCGTTATATGTGAACTATTAAGTGAATGGTTTTCTCACAATGGGAATACATCTGGTGCTCCAGACATCGACATAAAGTGCACCGGCAAAAACTATCTTAGTACCATAAACTTCGACATTAGGAGTATACATACCGCCATTAAAACCCTTAAGCCAAATGCGAGTTCTGGTGCCGATGACATCTCTTCAATCTTTTATAAAATGTCAGGACCGGACATACAGACGCTACTACTCAAAATATACACATTATCTTTAGAGACAGGTACATATCCGGAAACCTGGAAGGTAACGTATGTTTTTACCAAACACAAATCCGGACCAAGAAACCTGGTTGAAAACTACAGACCTATAAATATCACTCCAGTCATATCACGCATAATGGAAAAGGTGATACAAAATCAACTATCTGATCACCTACTCAAGGAAGATCTGATAGACCCGTCACAACATGGCTTCATTAGAACAAGGTCGTGCAGTACATGCCTGATAGACTTCTTTAACGAGGTTACTCGTATACGTGACCAGAAGAAACTAGTTATTATACTATACTTCGACATTAAGAAAGCCTTTGATAAGGTACCTCATAATCTTCTAATCAATAGACTTAAGTCAGTTGGAATTATAAATCCCCTTTTGCAATGGATCAAGTCTTTTCTTAAGAACAGATATCAAATAACCAAGATTAACTCTAATACATCTACACCTCGACCTATAACCAGTGGTGTTGTGCAGGGCAGTTTCTTGGGTCCATTGCTCTTTATAATCTACATCAACAATATATGCAAGTGTTTTAGCACAGGTAAGACCTACCTCTATGCCGATGACTTAAAAGTCATCTATAAAACTGACATTTTCGATTTACGCAGTACTATGGAAACAATCCAACATGAACTCAACATGGTAGACGACTCGTGCAAACGCTGGAGGTTAGAGCTCAACACAGAGAAATGCGGCTGGTTATGTGTAGGAGACACGTCTCTTAAAATGAACCTAACACTTAGCAATCACACACTGCCCAGACTGGCATCAGTAACTGACCTAGGGGTACATTACGCACACAGTCTTAATTTCTCTGAACACATCTAAGCCAAAGCATCCAAAATGAGGAAATTGCTTGGCTTCATTCTCCGTAATTTCTATCAAAATGAATCTCAAATCCTTCTTTACAAAGTTTGTGTAAGACCTATCGTTGAATACTGCTCGATCTTATTTTCCAACCTACGCCTATCTGATATACTAAAGGTGGAAGGAATACAACGAGACTTCACCCGCAAAGTACTTAAGACTGACTCGGTCATTGACTACAGTTCCCGATGCCAAATTTTAGGAATAGCACCCCTTTGGAAGAGAAGGCTTAGGTCTAACATGATTCTCTACTTCAAACTACTCAAAAACCTTACTTATTCAACATGTAAGATAATTCTTGCCCGAGATTCACATGAATACGGACTTCGAAACAAAGTATCTACGGTCAAAGTTGAGAAATACAGATCAAAAACTCGGGAAAACATCTTCCTCACTAAGTATGCAATAATATGGAACAGTCTTCCCTCCGAAACTCGCATGGCAGATGAATTACATCCGTTTGTAAAACTGCTTGATCAAGCCCTCACTTGCACGTACGAACACATCTGCGCCCCACTTAGACATCATAGGCTCTCTCCATGTCTAGACCAAAATGGACTTCAAGTTCAGTTTGCCTTATTTTTTCCTACTTTGCAGTTGTATTAATTACTTTTTCCACCCTATTTCTTCACTTGAAGTAGACAGGTAACTCAATGGACCTATCATTACTGTTAAACTAAACTCGGTCGATAAGGGACACTCACTACCACCTTAAAACGTCAAGAGGACCACACAATCGGCTGCCTACTACCAGTGGTCTTGCATCCATGGAGCCTGTTACCAATCAACTGGCTAGGACAACAGAAAATAACATCAGCACCAAGTTACTGTGAGTTCCTTCCTGTTTATCCTGTATTAACTTTTTACTCTTCAGTACACCATGTTGACTAGCAATTAATGTAATTTCTCCACTCGTTCCCTTATCCACAACTCATATACTTTTTCCGCCAGCTTAAATAAACAACTATCCTACAATATACCCTTCTTAACGCTTATACTCTGATTGGCAAACTATACTTTATACTATAGTCAACAGATGCACTGCATCGATGCTTTACCCACAGTCCATAGCTTGTAACTGCCTGATAAGCTTGTAAAATGGTACTTATAGAAATAGTGCTTTCCAACAGTTTGTGAAACAGAGGATTGTGCGAGGTATGACGTATATACAAAAATAATGCTAAATGAGCCTAACATCACAAAAGGAGGGAGGGTGGAGTTACTGACCAGCAAGCATTGATGGTGAGGGCGATAACTTCAATCTACCCGTGTTTGTGGGGACAGAACATTTTGTATGTATCAAGCTCCTCATGACTGAGAATAAGTCAATCAATCTGTGATATAGATTGTTTTCCTACGCTCACGACTCAAACTCATGTTTCCAATATTATGCTGGATTAGCGATTCTACTAAGACAACCTATAACATGCTAACTCGGATTTTTACACTAGGATTGTGTGGCTGGCATAGGACAAACAAAAAAAGGAAAAAATAGTTAGACAATAAAAGATGTAGTCATTAATATTCTTAACACTTCACCCTCTATATACACACCCTTCTTATAAACCGCTTTCCTTGTACCAGCCTTGACTTCCTTCCCTTCGTGTGAGCTTACTCCAACTTGTTAAACATCACAACTCATTGTTCTTTATTAGTACATTCTTTAATATGGAGCCCCTGACTTCATTTCACTAACAAGACATGATATGAATTTATTCTAATTTATTATACCTCTGTTCGTTCTACTACACTATGTTAAGCAACGTTTGGCGTTCATATCCAAGTGCCTTGCTGCTCTTCTGTTTCTCTTTTTTTCTCTTCAGAATCTTGCTCTGAGAGCACAGCTATGAAACTTCTGAAGTTTGGAACAAACTTGATGTACGCGTCCTCTCAAGGTCATAGTTTACAGCAAACGCTTTATAACAACTATAAAATTAATAAGTTGGGAAACATTTTGTGAACCAACAAATGTTGTAATTTACAGATCATGCCTGTAAAAACAGTGTGTGCCTGCACATGCAGAAATATATTATTATCTAGTGTTTACCATTTCGCATCATGTTTTTTAATTCATTAATTATGATCAAAATGTTCATGTGACAGTCCAGTGTTGGTGATACACTTTTTGTACAGTTGTAATAACTTGGAATTATTCGACGCCAATCAGAATAGTGTTGATATTAATTTCGAAACATCAGTAATTATTAGAAAATGGTATTCATTATATATATTGGACTCATTTTCGATATCGTTAAAAACTAGCAAGCACTTGGTAGTTGTTTTGTCTTATTATTGTACTCCTCAATAGTTCTGATCCACAAACTAACCCTGAATCGAATTCCATCGTAACTGGTGAATATCATTGGAGACAGTCGTCACAAATCAGTAATACTGACTGGTCGTCGTACTATATTGCGAACTGATTAAAGTTAGAAATTTGTACAATTACGTCCCAACCTGGCAGTCTAGTGGTTAGTCATTAACCATGAGCTTTGAAGGTACCGCGTTTATTCGCTGGTCGTAGGTACGCTAGCTTAAATATTCTTATACTAGGGAGAACCAACTGTACGGTACTTAGTAGTTTTCAATAGTACCCCAAAGTATGTAAAGTGAGATGAATACCACCTTTAAATGAAATTGACTTCTATAGAATCTATTCACTAAGTGAGTATCAATAAATTGGCTGATTTTAAAGGTTAATTTAATTTTCGGGGAATTCCAATAAGCTCTCACCAGGGATTTATTGGGATTGAAACAGTTATCATCAAGGCAAATAAATAGTAATCGTTTGGAGATTGTGTCTATCTTGTGCTTAATTGTGGCTGGAGATAACATGCAACCGGAGAAAGAAGTTACGCAAACAGATAAATGTCGAAGACTTAGAAAGGTATTTTTTTGGGGATTTATTTACCGCTACAAAATAAATAGAAATCGGCAAATAAATAGTAATCGTTTGGAGATTGTGTCTATCTTGTGCTTAATTGTGGCTGGAGATAACATGCAACCGGAGAAAGAAGTTACGCAAACAGATAAATGTCGAAGACTTAGAAAGGTATTTTTTTGGGATTTATTTACCGCTACAAAATAAATAGAAATCGGTGTCAACTTTTCTCTTAGTACGAATAAATGAGCTATAGAACTCCCTATCAACTGCTACAGTGATGACACATTCTGCTAAATCTTTTGAAAGAAGAGTTGATGGTAACTCCAATTTTATATGAACTGGAAGAAATCCCTCTGAACGTTACTCCTCGATCACTTTGATGTTAACTGAACTACTTTTTTCTATATTTTAGCGAAGTATTGTCAATAAAACTATCCGAACACAAGCTGTTAGTTTCTCAAACAAAGTTGAAGACGAGTCTCGAATCTATCCCAAAGATAACAGGACTAACATAGGACATCAAGCTTACTGTCCTTCCTAAACTGAAACTGAAACTGAAGGCGCATCTTTCGGATGTTGTGTCTACTTTTTCGAGTTCTTACTTTAGGCGTTTTCGTTGCATGAATGCATCGTAAATATGGATTCTGTTAGCACGCGCTTACTCCGAGATGTGCAGACCTGCAATTTAGCTGGCAGTCAAGGGTTAAGTATGAATCAGGTTGCAGATGCGGATAATGTTCCTACGCAGATGGTCGATAAATGTCAACGAGTCAAGATGTGGCAGCAAACTAATTATCTTTCAGATTCTGGCATTCACAGTGCTGTTGGGACTCATACACCAAGTATTAGTAGCAAGGTAGAATGTGATGACGCCGAAGCAGACGATCGTTATTTAACTCAAAAACCAGGTCATTTACCTCAGTGGTCATCTTTTCCACTTTCTGTTAACCCGTCGGACTCTTGCCTTTTGTCTCCAGCTACACCTAGTACAAGTAGCATTCTAGGTGTTGACTCCTTAAGCGATGTTGGTGGCTCCCACTCTGCAAGTAACGTTGATCTACGAGGAAACAAGCTACCAGAAATTGATACCGATGAGGCTGCAGGAGCCATACCAGAACTTGTCAAACTGATCAAAGATGAAGATGATCAGGTTATTATTTACCAGTCATCAATGATGGTTTTTCAATTGAGCAAGTCGGAAGCAATCGATGCCCTTATCAAATCGAGAGACATGATAGACTGTATTATATCCGCTCTGGACCGAACAGAAGATCCAGAAACAGTTCGTTTTCTTGCTGGTACATTATATAACATTTCTCAGATGCAACCTGGGCTTAAGGTAAGTGCTTTGTATTTCTGAATCGATCTTTAGGCAATATTTGCCGCACAATGTATCCCCTGTCTTGTTAAGCTTTTGAATTCTCCTGTAGAATCAGTTTTGTTCTATGCAATAACGACGTTACACAATCTTCTACTTCATCAAGATGGAGCAAAAGCCGTTGTAAGACAGAGTGGGTGTTTACAAAAGATGACTGCCTTATTGCGGAAAAATAATATTAAGTTTCTCACCATATGCACTGATTGTCTACAAATACTGGCTTATGGTCATCAGGAAAGTAAACTGCAAATTCTTTGCAGCGGGGGGCCCGTAGAACTGGTTCGGATATTAAGAACATATCAGTATGAAAAGTTACTTTGGACCACGGCTCGAGTTCTCAAAGTGTTAAGCGTGTGTGCGTCTAACAAGCCGGCTATTATTGTTGCTGGAGGAATGGACGCTTTAGCAAAGCACTTACATAGTTCAAGTCACCGGTTAGTATTGAACTGCCTTTGGGCACTTCGCAATTTATCCGATGCTGCGACAAAAATGGATAATCTCCAGCCTTTGTTGCACTCATTGGTCCGTTTATTGGATTGTGGTGATAGCAGTATGATTACATGCGCAGCCGGAATCCTCTCCAATCTAACGTGCAATAACCACGCAAATAAATTTGTCGTTTTTAAGGTAAGGTCTTACATTTAAGCGTAATTTTGCAGATGGGTGGAGTAGAGGCGCTTTTGCGTGCGGTCAGTCAACCTGCTGTCAAAGAAGATATCCTAGAACCATGTATGTGCGCATTGAGGCATTTAACAAGTCGTCATGAAGAGGAAGAAACAGCAAGACATGCCTTGGTCCATGAACTCAACGGTTTGCCGATAATCGCTCGAGTTTTACATGCAGCAACTGCTGGTATTTGTCCTGATCTTGGTTTAGTCTGTCAACATCCTCAGAATCCGGTGGTATCGTGGATGCTTGTTAAAGCTATGGTTGGCCTTTTGCGCAATCTGTCTGTCACCTTAGATAGTCATTATGGTATGCGTGAATGTGGGCTTGTCACCGGTTTGTTTTTACTACTTTATGCAACGCAATATGAAATAATTAAAGTGAGTGCCTCTGTTTATTTATTAATATCCTGGGAGTATAATAAATATGACCCTAAGGTTTTGTAAAACGAGAACAATAAACTATGGGGAAAGTTGAATTCATTTCATTTTGTTTCCCTTCAATCCTCAACTTATTAAATGTCAATACTAATTTGTGCTTCACACAGATTTATAAAACAGTTTTGTGGTGGTGTTTATGTAGATTCAGAGCAAATAAAGTGATTTCACCTCACTCGACAAAGCTTTTTGTCCTTGTATAAAATCTCAACAAGAGGACTAATTTGCTAGGACTTGTAGTTCATTTAAAGTATTGGTTGTGATCAATATGATGTTTAATTATTATTTTAACAGTTTGTAGTATCTGTGGAGCAGATATTTTGTGAGGACTTCGAGAAGTCATAAGTAAATGTTCTGGTGTTTTTTTTATGGTTGTGGACGCCCACAAGTAGTTGTATGTGTATCTCATTTGTCACGTACAAATGTATGTGTTCGGCTTTCAGGAAAAAATTAATTGTATGACGGCTACATCTAATGGTTGACGACTCGATAGATTTATTCGGTCTTAGTTTGATCACTCCTACCACTCTCCCAACCTATTCCTACATCGACCAACACCATGTGTTGTAACGAGGTAGCCAGTTGTTGGGCATAAGCAGTATGTGTTCCGACCAGCTTAGTTGACGAAGATTCACAACCCCACGTCTATTCAGTACCCAACATTTAACACCAGAATCGATCACTTGGTGGTCAAAACATATGCAAGCAATGTTTAGAAGACACGTATGATCGAATACTAATTCCCGTTGTCTCTGAGAGCCATGTATCAGTCGTAAGTTAGGACGGAGTAAATTGCTGGACAGTGTACTCATCCGACTGGCAGATGGACATGTCACCTGATCCATAGGTGATGGAAGTTATGAGAATCCAAGTGAGCCTTCTAGATCCGTACCGATATTTCTTCCGATGGAAACCCACGAGGACTGATGAGACTCACAAGATGATTGAAATGGTCTATGTGCGCAACTACTTCACTGGATATTGTTACTGCGGACCAGTTCCCAAACAATATTTTTGATCTAGAGAGAGAGAGAGGGGAATGAATCTAAAACACTGTTGCTTCAGGTGATCAGAATACTAGATCTCGTCAGTGTTTTCATCGAACACATCTCCATATTTCAAGTTAATAAGTAGACTTTCTGGTAGGTGATAAATCCTTGAAAAGTCAGATAACAGAAGCGTTATCCCTAAAGAAGCATGTATGACAGAGTAAAAATAGGGAAATCTGGAAACCCTGGCGAACATCAGTTGGTATCATTATTTTTGATGACATTTGGCCATAGACTCTGATCCAACTAGTTGTCTTCGAATAAAGAACCTTTACAAGTTTTATGTACTTTGGTGTATACCTTCAACCATGAATGCTGCTGTTAAACCTATCAAGTATTGCGGATTAATACCACATTAAAGTCAAAAGTACTTCTATAGTTCAGTGTCGGTAGGCACGTCCATGCTCGTGAACCTGAAAGGATTAGTATTTGACCGGTACTCCCACTTCCAGGTCTGGTACTAGGTTCGTTTCTCTCAGATTCGCTGTTCACAGGCTTTTCTGAAGTTTTGATGATCACTGAAAACATTATTTTGTGCACCATATTGGCCAAGCTTATTCTGTGGCTGTCGCAAGAGGATTTTAATCTACCAAAAACTGGGACAGCCCCCGAGACCAACCAATTAGGATAACGTCCAGTTCCGAAACTGCAGCTTATGCCCTAGGCAATCTAACTTCTAAAACTGGACCACCATCCAAAGAAATCTCCAGGTTTAGCCTATTGGGGTTCACCGTTATCCTTAGCTTTAGATTAGCTATGGTTGTTCCAAATACATTGATAGTCGAGAGACTTATGTTAATATCCCATTCAGGCTGTTTTTTATCGATAGGCAACTGGAGGGTAACTACGAATCAGTTAAATTGTAATTAAAAGTGTTCCACCCCCACTCTTACGGTTTGTGCTTAGAGTAGGCCATAATTTCGGTAATCTAACTGTACTACTTTCTTTTTTGATAATTCTAAAATGTTTATTATTACTTATCGCCACGGCATTTTCTGTCCCTTGATTCCACCTCCCACTAATGCTGATAATGATTGCGTAGACTTTTTGTCAGTCTAAGCCATCTCTTTTCATCGTGTTCGTTGCTGGGATGAGTCCCGGGCTATTTGTCTGTTTCAGTAAATGACACCGAAACTTAATTGTATTTGTTAACTTTTTGATTTAAGTCACCGATATATATTATCGTAAGACAGGCAGATACGTGTTCTCACTAGAGTATGATCAGATTCTAATGATGTGCTCTCTCCAACGATGGTTGATAGTGATATGGCCTATTTGCGTCCGTCGATTTTGATATTTGTCACGTGAGATTAATTTTGGTATTTTCTAGAAATAGATGGTTATCTGAACATAGTCGCGGCAAAATGGTCATTGTTATTTCTTCTCTGTACTGAAAGGTTGCTAGATTGGTCTAAGTTTTTTCGATACGTTCATACGCTAGCTACTTACTTCATAACCCCAACTTTAGTGCGTGGACAAGACTTCTGCTGTCCTCTTCTTCCCTGCCCACTAATTAGAGAAACAGTCCAGTTTATACTGAAGCTTTGTTGATCAATACCACACAAGTAATTGAAATCGCACCTATGTTAGTCCAGTTACATATCAATTCAATGATTAAAATTCCTTATCAACCCAATTATTGCTAGTGACACAAAATCACACTGACACAATCAATGCAAAGGGAAATAGATAGACAATTTAATAAACAATTACGACTGAAATTACACTGGGAGTCAACGAATATAGTTAACTTTGAATAATTTAATATGACGGAAAATGTTTTGAAAGTTCGCTGAATGAAAATCACTTTAATCGACATAGGAAATCATAATTTCTCTGCTTATACGTCTTACTCGGGGATAAAGTATCTTCGGCAGTTTTATTTTTTAGACTTCCTACCTGGACATCAAAAACACTTTCTTTGATATAGTCGGTTAGTCTCCGTAAATGTAGAGCCCGGCACAGATGGGAGTTGTCCCAAATTACCATACTACATTAGTACGACGAGATGAATAGCAAAAGAGGAATAATTTGGCAGCAGTAGTAGTGAGACGAACTGAATATTGAGTATATGTTTCGAAAAAACAGTGGAAAAGTATGCATGAAGGTATACTGGAATTCTAGATCGAGAGGAAGATGAATATAGATTGAATGCATATGCGCTGTTGCAACCGATACTGAGTGATGTCACTCAAATTTGCAGTCACCGGTCACGGTTTCCGTGCGAACCCCGACCAGGTAGTTTGCTTTGTCCACTTGAATTAGTTGAAAACTTTGGTCTACTGATATTTGTTGATATTTAACATACACGTAGCAAACGTCTGTTGATGTTGTTTTACCACAAATCTTCAAATCTTCCTGGTTTCATGCATCAAGTTGTGTGGTACACCTGGATTGTGAGTCATATGTACTACCAGTGATGTCACCCGTTTTCTCAATCTAGAAAATTGGAAAAGGATTTGAACTCAAATTTGTTTGTACTACTGCTCCGCTGTTTCGTATGTTAGGAGAGCTGAACAGTGGAAGGCATGTAATATGAATGGAGTTATTTTCCAATGGTATCTTGTGTGTTTATCCTTTGCAGTGTAAGCTTGTTCGCATAACAACACTAATTCTAGTGGTCTGTGCTAGTGCCTATGAATTCGGAAGTTTATAACCAATTTATTTTATATTTCATTTGAATCAATAACATTTTCATCCTTGAGTTGCCAAACTTATTATAATTTTACTTATTACAAATTAAAGTTATTAAAAATTTTCATTCATATTTTAGCGTTCTGTTTCTGCCACTCATCCAACATTCTCAACGGTAGTGCAAAGTGTTAGACTCGAGGAGATTGTGGAAGGGATTTGTGGTGCACTTCATATGCTAGCGAAAGATCATGCTACTCGGTCATATCTAGCTCTTCTAAAGGTTGGTTTACAACAGCATCCAGATATTGTAATTGAACGATAGTTTATGTTGAAGTTAATAAAATGTAAATGAATTTATAATAACTCAAAATAACTTGCATATTAGCTATCGTGTTTACATTTTTTCAAGAAAAACGTTTCATGGAAACTTTAGTCATTGGTACAATATCGTACTAAGTTTTTACTTAACGAATGACCTGGACATGTGCGTCAATAATCTAGGTGTTGGCTTTTCGACCTTTAAGTCACGGACTAAATGAATCCTATCTTCCTTCGGTCCTGTAAGTCTAGTAATATCTTCAGTTCATAGCACAAATGCACTGTCCTTGTCGTGGTCACTACGTTAATACAAACATAAGTTTTGTAAAATGCGTTAATAGTAGTTTATCTGGATGCATTAAACTCCTTAAAAAATGTAGCTTACCTCGAGCTTCCACGGTAACACATCAAAGTCACTTTGAAGTTAAATGTAAAACGTCCAAACTGGGGCGTTTAAATGTAGTGTAGTAAGTTTTCCTAGTTAACATACAGTGTCTTGTTTTTACTTCGCACTGTATGCTGTTCATCATTGTTCATTTTATTTAAAGTAGTTGTTCACATTTTCTGCTTTTTACTGTTTACCTTTCCTTTAGTTTGTTTATGATCATCGGCTACCAATTCTTTTTGTATAGCTTTGTCATCTGTTTTTCTCTTTCATTTACTCAATCATCTGTAACTCTTAAAAATATTATTTCAATACTTATTCATTCTTGTTGTACAGGCTCCAGCTTTAAGTATAACTCCAAGTATTCAATCTGGCTCTTCTGGTCTTGCGATATTCGTCGAACTTCTCCATTCGCCTCATGAGTCCATCCAGCGTGCCGCAGCAGGCGTCCTCGCAGAGGTTTCACAGGATCGTGATGGCCTTGAGGCTTTAGCTACCTTACCTGGAGCAGGCTCAAGGTTCGATGAACTGGTTCGCTCTAGGAACGAAGCTATCTCAACTTATGCATCTGCAGTAGTCATCCGACTAGCTGAAGAGCGTAGGGGTATAGGCAGCAACCCGTACATTTTTTCATCTCATATAGAATCGCTAAATACCCCACCTTTACCAATGGATACAGGGGAAGTTTATCATGTGCCTACTGTTCATCATCCGGGGGGCACTTTGCATCCTGAAATGCCTTCATTAACTCATCATGGGAGTTGGAACCATGGTCCCTTACAGACTCATCCTCTAGAATCTGGAAACACATGTGGTAGTCCTTCCAACTCGTTGATGGAGATGCTTGGACCATTTCCACCTGGTTGCAAGGGTAAATAGTTTGTTTAGTTATCATTTTATGTACTCGATCATAACTGTTGTCTTTACTTAACGCTGAAACTTAGTTGTGGTTGGTATTAATTTGATTTTTCGTTTCCTGATGGATCTCATTGTACTAATATAAGGTATGGCGACTTTGATACACTTTTGCACCACGTCATATATTGTTTGTGCTTACTTGTTACATCTCGTGTAGGCTTGGCTATAAAAGTTTTAGCAGGCAAGTTTACGTTTTCTAAAGGTTTGTAAACGTTACTTATTTTCGACCCAGTGCTAAACCATAATTGTTTTCATTGTTGATTTCCCCGGCATGGAAACATAAGTCTTAATAATGTTATAGTCCACACTGTTTCTGTCTGCCACTACAGGCTTATCTCCTTAGTTCTCAATTATAGTAACTAGTTTTCCATTAATCCTATCTGAGAGATGGGGATCTGTATTTAAGAATAATGAATTATTTGATTCATTGATAGAAAGTCAACAAAAAACAAGCTGTATTTGTGCCTATTTAAAATTAGGAAACGTATTAATAATAATTATGTCACTACTTTTAAAAATGGAGTTAAATTTTTTAACGATTGTTCTAAATGACATACATGTTCCGAAATCGGAATCACTGTTACTTTGATTGAAATTACTTCCGTAAAAAGTGAGTTAGCATGTGAACCGTTTTAATATATGATTTCCATACGAAAATGAGATGGGATTTCTGACCGTATAGAGTGTATATTCTGAGATAGTTTGTACGGAAATCACTCAAAGTTGATGCAAATTTGGAAGTCATTTGTTTTTAAAGTAATTGTGTAGTTATGCTGTCATAATTGTTAGTTTTTTTTATCTCCTTGTCAATTTAGGTTCTGTGTGCAATGATTGTTGCTCTTACTGGGGTGATTGTGATCCTCCTGGGACTTGCTCCGATCCAAATTGTATTTATAATGGCAATAATAATCAATCATCTGGAACGTACTCTGAATTGCAACCAGTAAAATTATACCACAACATACGCTCACCAAGTCGTACTGGATTTGTGGGTTGTGGAAATACATATTCTGTGGGGCCAACATTTGTGTCTTCATCTGTTCAGAATATTGACAATACTCACCAGTTACAGGGATCTAATCCCGTTTTGCCCACTGGAATGAGTGTGGTGCCTCGCAGGTCATGTGTCGGAAGTATAAGTTCAAGTGGTTACTTAAGTCCGGGTGGTGATATGTTTTTAAATCCTTCACCTTCAGAATACAAGCCGTTTCATGAAGATAACCAAGGTATCTTGAGACCATCACTTTTAGATCAACAAACACACGCTGCTTCAATTTCTTCACCTGCAATACCTTCACGAACTGTTAGTGCTGGTTATCTTAGTCCCGATTTAATGGCTTTAGAAGAAACCGATCCTGATTGGTTTGGAGGCCCTGCCGTAATGTGAATCTTTCTTTTTTTGTAGACGAAAGTTAGACTTAATTTTTAGTCTTTTTTAAAATACTGGTGCCTCTAGGCTTTCAACTTGAAAGCCACTTCTTTTTCTTGTTGCAATAAACTTACAGCAGTTGGTTTTCTTCTTTCTGACCCATTGTTACACACAAGTGCATCTATTCATGAGTATGATTACAAAGGGAAAAAATCAAATGTCTGTTTTTTCTTTCTCCAAGCAATTGTATGTTAAGCTTTTCGATTTTCGATGGAATGTTTTATTTTGAAGATTTTTTATACGGAATATGAATTCCAGTTGCCTTTTTAATTTACAGTTGCTATAGTTGGATAAATAATATGATGTTATGTGATTGGTGCGTTTGTCTACTTTCTCATCGCATATTGAAATATAGATCAAATTTTCTACACAACTAAATAAACACTGATTAAAGAATTGAACAAGAAAAAAGCAACATGATATAATTTAGGTAAGTAGGTACTTTTGTTATACCTTTCGTTATTCTTGATGGAAAGTTGAATAGCTCATCAATGTGTTGTTTGTCTTAATTTGTTTTTGCTTTTTTTGATTATAACTAACTTACTGTTGAGTGATCTACCGTTATTTCGATTGTCTTTTTTAAAAAATATTGAGTAGCCTACACTATACATAATATTGAAACACATTTTAAAACATTAAAAACTTTTACTAAGCTTATTCTTACTTTTTACTACTCTGCACACCACTTTTAGCGCCATCATCATTTTATTTCTTACTTTTGAATGCCACTAATCAACAAATACACATGCATACTTATACACTTTTTATCACTCCAGCGGCATTATTTATGTTATTACTATTAATCATATTTGTTTGTCCTTTTCCCAGTTTTGACTGTTTTTGCTTTTTCTCTAAATAATTATGATTACGATCACTAGTTCACACAGAGCACCTTGTTCTGGATATAAACATTATTATTTCATGTGATGTTTTCTTTTACATGATGTATGGATTACTACTTGCTTTGGTAGTATGTAAGCACTCAAATAATCTATTCGAACTACTTCAAGCAGTTGGGGTCGCCACCAAACATAATTAGTGCTACGAATTCGACGATTACCAAAGAAACAGACATCAAGTATCATCAGCTTAGAATCAGGTTTTGTAGGGGTGAACTATGTTTGTTGATACCAAGGCACTGTAAACTACCTTTTGCAACCAGATTAACATCACAGGGACATCAAATATGGCCTAAATTAGAACACCACTAAGCCCAATGTATAAAGAATCGCTTTTGTCAGTTACACTGGCACCCTGATTCATACGCGAACTTTTACTTCTTTCCAACTGTACGTCACCTAAAGGAAGTACACGGACAGTTTCCTGTTTAAGACAGATATACATCACCAGCATGTAATTTTTCCACATTTCTCTCTAGAATACTGTTCATGACAGAGTTAGATTGATATCGAGATAAGCTGGACAACAGTACCCAAATTAACTTAATTTGGGATGATTAGCAAATGTTATGTGTGTACACTACATAGAGTGCATCTTGGAAACGCTTTCAGTGTTTTAATAGACCTTTCAATGTCAAAATGAAAAGAAATTTCGGACCCATAGTGGGCATTACGATATTCAAGCTTGTGGCGTAATACAAGAACACCGACAATGCATCTATGGTGTGAATGAAACTCGGTCTGGATGAAATATTGCTTAATTTGAGTCGATGTAAAACTTTATCTGTATTTTCTACTCGTTGTTAGTATATCTCATGATATCAGTTAAAACAGACAGAAAAACTTCTAGACTGCTAGTGGTAAAAGTACTGAACGGAAATTCTCGTTAAAGGTTACGTACTTTAGCTTTATAGATTGCCTCTCAATAATACAGGTCTAAAGATTTTTAAATTGGTCAGTTAAATTTCTCAAACTTTTGTCGATCCACCATCGACGAATAAGAATAATCCGATGCAGATTAGTAAGCAAGGACAGCATTTCTACAACTGAAGAACATATGAAACTCAAACAACTATCAGCCAGCATCAAAGTGAGAATCTTCAGTACGAATGTTAAGACAGTTCTGTACTGAACTGAAACTTGGAGAACTACTACAACCATAAAAAGTAAAGGTATTTATAAACAATTGTCTACGTAAGATACTCAATGTCCGTTGGTCGGATACCATCAGCAACAACCTACTATGGCAGAGAAAAAACCAACCTCCAGCTGAAGAGACAATTAGGAAAAAAAGACGCTGGAGGTGGATGGGACATACATTGAGGAAATCACCAAACTGCATCAAAGGGCATACACGAAAAGGATGAGTAGCAACTGGAAAGGATCCCCCAGGATAGAGTTCGATGGAGAATACTGGTGGACGGCCTATGCTCCTTTACGAGGGGTAACAGGCGTAAGTAATATGATCTTTAGTTGTGCAGTTGGGTGGACGTAAAAAGGTTTATTTAAAAGTACTTAGGGATTGATTAGCTCTAACCAGTCACTGAATATCATATTGGCGAAATTTAAGCCTTTACAGAAGTTTAAATAGTGTAATCAATCATCAACTGCAAGCAGTTTATAAAATGACTGTCTGAAAGTTCGAGACTTGACATTCTATATAAAACGGGGTCTTGATTATGGAAGTTAATGGTATGTTTATGATTGAAGCATTAGCTGCTTGAAAAAAATAGTATAACAAAGGGCTCAAATAATTTTTTAGGGATATAAATACTCTACTGGAGTAAGTACAAAACTGTTTGGCAACCGAAAAGATAGGTTGGTTGTATATGGATTTTGTTGACTGTAATCATCTACAGGAAAAGACAGGTCAAGTCTTGGTGTGGGCTTCATGACTCCAAGTGGTATTGATTTTGAAATGTATTAATATTAATTTATTAAATTGCCAAATATAAGGTTGATGTTGTAGTCCCAAATGGAGTGATGCCGTCCAGCTCTAGGTTTTATGAAGAATAAAATATTTACTAAAAAATAAAAAAAACACAACTCGTTTGAAATTACTTATCATGTTATTGTTGTCGTGACGAAAGGAGTAATTTGCTTTGATGGGTTAAGAAACATGAAAAATATAAACAATTTTAGTGTTTATATTATTGAAATTTCGGACCAAACAATAATTTTACTTTAGAAAACGAGCAATCCAATAGTGTATTATATATATGGCCGATACCAATAAAGCTCCCTGTTAAGATTTCATAGCATTCAAAAGTTTTGGATTTACAATCAACAGTCGATAACAAAAAATGATGCTGACATCGCCAATGCTTCAATACCGTCATGCCACATCATTTGAAACGTAACCACTGAGTTATTCAGACCACCTTGTTGACGAGTACCGACTAACGTAAGATCACAGTTGAGAGCTATTTGCTGACTTCCTCTAACCACCTAACGTCAAAAAACCACGCAAAGTGGAGTTATCTAGACTAGTCGTCAAACTGCAACTTGATCAACAGAATCCAATAAGTATTAGAAAGACTGGTTTTTACTCAGTGATTAACTAACGAAGACTGACTTTGGGAAAACAAACGTTGGAAATAATAAAACAGTCCCTACTTTCGTTAAGGCAACAATAACATGACAAGTAATTTCAAACGAGTTGTTTTTTTACTTTCTAGTAAATATCTTGTTCATCATAAAACTTAGAACTGGACGGCATCATTCCATTTCGAAGCTGAATCCAGTGCATCGCACAAAACCTGGTCAAAATTCTTTTAATATTTACAAAGTTCTTTTGTACTGCGACTTAACGCCTCAGCTTGTTCAATTGTTAGCAGAAATTCAATTGAACATGAATACACTCGTTGACTTTCATGACTAAGTCATTGATTAATTAATAGTATCGACTCCTAATCATAATCAATTGTAGACAGTAAACAAAAGAATGCAATTTTAATGATAAGTTAGTAAACATTAGAAGTAATGTATTGTGTTTAGAGGTAACCAGTGAGAAACAATGTACAAGCAAGGAAAGATTTGTATCGATTCAAAATGGTATGCACAACGAGAAAGACTCAACAAGGTGAAAAATATGTGAGACGAAAATATTGGTGTCATTAAAGCATAAATTAAACTTTAGTAATTTAGTTTGAGAAGATCAAATGAAATGTCAAGCTAAAACGTATGGAACGATATTAAAATTTAATATTCAGATGCAGATAAAGATGAGTTATGTCTGTATTAGTGTGATCACTTTGTACCTGGGAGTAAGGCTTGAATAGTCTAGAGTTAATACGACAAAGAGCAATTACTTGTGTGATCGGCCTTGGACATTTGTTCTTTGAGCACCGAATTCTCATGTCACAGAAACTATCAATACTAAAGTGAATTTGTCTATAGATTCCAATAAGAATTAACTATGGTTTCACAATTGTGAGAAACGAAGAAGTACTAGTCACTCATAAATCTTCAAGAGGACTTATTTAAAGACAGTGAACTAAAAAAATGTATTGGATGCAAATTCATTACATCTTTGGCGTTCATTACTTAAATGTTAAATTATGACAAAACATATCACTGTAATGATTTATACTAAACCATGAATATTCTAACGGTTTTATTTATATGTATAATTAATTGTACAATTTGTATATAATGACGATTATAGTCACAATATTAGTATGTTCACTTCAAAGATTTAATTGAGATCCTATGCTTATTTATTTCATTTATGCTTTTAATATATATATATAAGGCAGACACAGTATGCCTAGTGTATAGATAAAAAGTGGAAAAAAATCCCATTTACAGATGTCATGAAATATATATTCACTACTACTGAACAATCAATGAACATAGGACCTTTGACAAAATCTATACTTTATATATGTATATAGGTAATTGTTAAACTATCTATTGAAATTACAGTGTAACTAGTTATATGAGTGTATGCACTTACAATTTCTGTGTGATGAGTTAGATAAAGCTTTTCTAAATAACAAAAAATGAAACATTACAAATGGAGATGACATACTACCACTACTATGTTTCTTTTCTTTCTTTCTCTCTCTCTCTCTCTCTCTCTCTATATATATATATATATATATATATATATATATATATATATATATATATATATATATATACGTACACAATAATGACGAATTTTTATGATGTCAAAGTATTTTAGGAAGATATATTAGAATTGGATTTGACTTCCTATATAAATATTAAATTGAAAATATTACACATCAACAGGGTGATTTGTTCTATTTATTGAATTGGACACATTTTCTGTGTTTTCATTAATAATTGGTAACAATAACGAAGATGATGTTGAAGAGAATGTTGATGATTGTTGTTGTACTTCACTTTGTTGACGCCATAATTGAGCATAGCGACTTTTGGGATTTAATAATAATTCCGAATGTGTACCACGTTCAACAATTTCACCTTCATGTAGAACTAAAATTTCATTTGCATTAACTATTGTTGATAAACGATGTGCAACAATTAAAGTGGTACGATTTTGTGCAATACGATTTAAACTAGCTTGAATATTGCGTTCTGTTGTTGTATCCAATGCTGATGTAGCCTAAAATGTATGCGAAAAAATTGGTATATATGTATATATTACATGTAACTATCATTGGAATGATGGACTCATTCGAGTTGAGGAACAAAACTCCATGAGGAAAACACATTCAGTAAAACGATTATGAAGTGGTTCATTTTAGTAAGATGCAGTGTTTTACCATGCAATTAGTTAACAATCATAATAATTTTGAAGAAACTCTCTTTTTAACACAGAATAATGGATATCAACGCTATAATTTGAGATTAATTGTACATATGTGTAAATAAAACTGGTTACTACATTATAGGGGTGTACGACGCAAGAGATTTAGTTTTTATCTTTACTTAAATCTTAAATGCCTAAAACACTTTTTATACATTTCTATTATTTCACGATTTTAATTTTTTTCCTCGAACCATATCTTCGATATCTAAACCTTCCTACTAG